AAAATAACCCAACAAAGCACTAAATATTTAATTCAACTGGTGGAGGTATTGAATAAATAACATAATAAAGGTTAAAAATAACCCAACAAAGCACAAAATATGTTTAACTTAACCATTGGGTTAAATTAGAGTGTACAGAATCGTGATATTGATTTTAAGTAAAAAGAAAATAAATAAAAAATGTGATTCTCATTTGAGCCAGAATTGTGCAGCCCTAGTATAAATAATAAACATAAATGCAATTGCACTGTTCTTTGTTCATTGTCACCACACAACACATTTAGATTCATGTGTTTGTGTCAGTGGTTTGTTTTTGGTGTCTCTGCGATTTTGGAAAGGGATCTTATCCACATTATCCAAGACTCAGGTACATGATTTCCATCTAATGAATATTTCAGCATGGTCATTAGCATAACAGACAGCGCCTTAGGAGGACACCGCCTATCTCTGATGAATTTGTTTGTTAAAATGTCATCTCTGCTGGTTTCTCGAATGCTAATTTCTCTTCATTGAGAGTATGACATTTGTGGATCTCCAGTTGGAGTTCAGCTTCATTTTCAGTCTTTTTTGACAGATTCAAAAGATTCGAATGAGGGGGTTTATTAAAGGAGTGAGTCACAGTCTGATTTTTCCCCTCTTATTTTATTCAAGATACTGCAGCAACAAAAATCTTGTAGGATACAAGGATTCATGCTGCGACTGGAGCTCATTGTCATGTTTTTAATATGCAAAGTGAATTCCTGGGGCGGCCCTGACAGTTCCTCAGCAACCCAGGATTGCATTTTCAAAAATACACATGACAGAGTTTGGATACCTGTGATAGCTTTTGCCTTTCTTTTTGACATATGGGTAGAATAAATGTCACACGTATATTCATTATTTTTTTACTCAAAACTTTACGTTTAAAGCCTTCTAAATTGACTATCACTCTTTTAATATTACACATCACACTGTCTGACGTTGACCTATGACACATTAAATCATAGTCTATGACAGATGTTAAAACAGTGGAATATAACAACATAGTTGTAAAAAATAGGGCACCCTTTGAAGCACCCTTTAAATCTCACGCTGATAACAGCTAGAGAACATCATACAAGCAAAATTAATTCTTTTTACCATAGGATTTAGATTTTATGTTCAGTTGGTCATGTTGAAATTGTTGAAATATGAGGTATTGTGTGTAGAATTTTGAGGTAAAAAAATTTATGTAATAAATTTTGGAGTAAGGCTGTAACAAAAATGTGGAAAAAGTGCACAATATATGTATGCAGAAAATTATAAAATGTTATATTAGCAGTAACAAGCTCTTGTACAGGCATTTGTGCACATGCAAGTGCATGCATAATGTCTCCTAGGCCACAAACTGCCTTTGTTTTTCAGTCAGTAGTTATCAAGACAATCTTTTTCTCTGTTATGGCAGTAGCAGTCACTATAATTTAAAGCTTATTTCCCTCTAGGAAGATTTAGGTTAATTTTATTTTAAACCGTTTTAGCTCAAAGTATGAACGACTGTTTGTAAAGAGGTAATATTGTATACACTCCACAAGTAATAACACTCATGCTGTGATATTTTATCCTCTTGACACATTTTGTTTTTATAAGGAAATTCTGCCAATATGTGACTGCTGGAAATAGGTTCACATAGGTTTTTTTTTTTCGTCTTTTTTTTCTCCACCTGTCATTGTGAGCACACCTACAAGCATTTCCTTCTAGGTTTACACCTTACTCATCCTCATTTCCTAATGGCAGTCAGTGGAAGACAATCCCATAATCCATCCAAAGTGTGTCACTGACCTAGTAGTTCCTGTTTCTGGGCTGTAACTTACAACCATATGACAAAAATGCTAGTGAAAATACTGGACATCCTGTAAATGTGTTATGTAGGCCACAGAAATAGTTTTGCACAATGTTGGACAGTAACTAAGTATTTATACTTCAGCTGTACACGTTCACCAGGGTTCCTACGAATTTTCTGGAATGTCATGGAATTTAAAAAAGTCAATTCTAGACATTGAAGGTCAGGGAATTTGGGTAGCACAAAATATTAACTCCAAGCTTTGAATTATTTATTAAGCATCAGCAAATAGTTAATAGACTATTTGTTAGGTATTAACTCTATATTAATAAAAGTTGTTCATAAATACAGCTACAAATGCTGATTCTCACATATACAGTATACTGTGCTTAATGATTGTTGTTATACTTTAAGAATTTATTTTTCATCACTAAATTAAGTGTAGCGTCAAAAATAGTTGTTGGTTTTTTGAGATCATTTAGAATACGTAAATAAATGATTAGTAAATTATTTAAATTAACATTTACGCTCACCGGCCACTTTATTAGGTACATTTGTCCAACTGCTCGTTTACACAAATTTCTAATTAGCCAATCACATGGCAGCAACTTAGTGCATTTAGACATGTAGACTTGGTCAAGTTGATCTACTGCAGTTTAAACCGAGCATCAGAGTGGGGACAAAAGGTGATTTAAGTGACTTTTAACATGGCGTGGTTGTTTTGTGCCAGACGGGCTGGTCTAAGTATTTCAGAAACTTGCTTATCTACTGGAATTTTCACGCACAACCATCTCTATGGTTTACAGAGAAAGGCCCGAAAAGGAGAAAATATGCAGTGAGTTCTGTGGGTGCAAATGCCTTGTTAATGCCAGAGGTCAGAGGAGAATGGCCTGACTGGTTCCAGCTGATAGAGCAACAGTAACTCAAATAACCACTCGTTACAAATGAGTTATGCAGAAGATCATCTCTGAACACACAACTCTTCGAACCTTGAGGTGTATGGGCTACAGCAGCAGAAGACCACACCGTGGTGTAATGATGTGGGGGATATTTTCCTGGCACACTTTGGGCCCATTAGTAGCCATTGAGCGTCAACACTAGTTTGTTTCTAATCATATCCATCTCTTTATGACCACATTGTACCGATCTTCTGATGGCTACTTCCAGCAGGATAACGCACACAAGGTGTGAATCATCTCAGTCTGGTTTCTTGAACATGACAATGAGTTCACTGTACTCAAGTGGCCACCACAGTCACCAGATCTCAATCCTAAAGAGCAGGGATTAGTGGGCAGTGAGAATTAAATGAACTCTTAATATTATGCTATAATTTTTGAACTTCATTATTAACATACTGTATTAAAATGATCGAAGTAATGCACTTTCTCCTGTTCTCTGATTGATTACTTACTGAACTCGGCGCAAAAACAGCCTCATGACCATGTCTGCAACTACATGCAAGTCTGTTCATTCACAAACTGTGTGTGAAGTAAAAGTCTCTCTTTGTGTATTTTTGTGTGAACTATTTAATATATCTGCATAGTTGTCCAAATTAATGTCCTGTGATTGTTTTAAAAAGGACGCAGGCACTTACAGAAGGATCTAGCGAGGCTCAATGGTGTTTCAGATGCGCTCTGATGGAGACGTTCACTGTTCCTGTCAGTGATCTAACAATAATATCTAGCTGCAAACTCAACTGCCATTAGATCGATGCGTTTTAACAGATTAAGCTGTGTTTTGAATGACTGTATTTTACATTTGTCTGTATATTTATGAATAGTACATAGATAATAGGAGATATCAATATATAAATGTTAATAAATAATGGTTTAAATGAGCATTTCATTCAAACATTTTAAAGAAAACATCAGTCAGGTGGGCCTTCAAAAAATTTGTTTGGAGAAAAAAGGTGGCCCCGAAGTGAAAAAGGTTGAGAACCCCTGCAATAGAGCTACTTTGGGATGTGGTGGAAAAGAAGATCTGTGTGGACCAGATTGCTGGTGATTGTGATCTGGTCAGCAGCATCTTTAGAAATGTTTTCTGTGAAAAATGGTGACGTGTTGAATGCTTATTTCCCCCACTGTAAATATTAATGAACATTAGAAGGTATGTTCGCTTACTGGAATGGATTATTTTCATTTTTGGTTTTCTAAAATGTTTAATTTTGGTGTTAAGGAGAAATGGATGAAAATTATCAACAGGTCTGATTATGTAATTATACAAATGTTTTTAATAAGGTAAATAAAAAAGTCAAATAAAAAAAAAAAGAAGACAACTTTTTTTTTGCAATGTTACTGGGCAACTTTGGGAAATGATGCCATAAATGGGCGACCGGGTGAGATACAGAGTAGCTAATTAGGGCAACAGGCTACAGATACAATATTGGTGCTAATTCTTGATAGAAAATACAACAAGTAACATCGCTCTGCCCAGCAACACTGCCCAAAAAGTTGCCTTGTCAGTCACCAGCATTAGTGGTGTAGTGTGATTTTCGCCTGGTGGGAAAACTGAAAATTATTGAGTTGTATAAAATAAAATAAATAAATAAATAAAAAATTAGTTTAATATGAAATGTAAATTACTCAATATAAACCAAAGATCAAGCAGCAATTTTGTTGCTTGCCACAAATATTCTTGCTAGTTTCTCTGACACAGGCTAAACAATTTGTTAGTGCATAACAGTTACCTTTTTTATTTGGTCAATTCACCTTAATCAGTGTCAAGTACATTATGTTGCAACTCATTAATGTTACTCATAAACTGGTGTGAGACAATGATAACACTAAGATTGACAGCATGTTTGTTTGAAAGTAACGGGATAGTAAAAATGCTATAATAAGCAATCATAATTGAGATTGTGAATGTTTTTTGAGTAACAACATTTTGGTCAAAGACCTTCAGGCAGTTTTTATGATACCTGCCTACACAGCTGCTGGAATCCAGGTGTATGAGGGGTGTTTATTTATTCATTTTCTTGCCAAAGGCAATTTTATTTGCATTTGGCACTTGGCTAGTGTTAATTTTGCACCCCAGCTGTAGCCGTTTCCATGTGTTCTCTAACGCTCTCTCTGAGAATTGTTTGACTGCTCCAGGGCTCACAGATTCAGTGTGCTGTATGCAATATAAATGGTAATGATATAGAACCAATCCTACTACATATGAAATATTAAGTCAATGTGTATGGTCATTGTCTCATTTACAGATGGTGAGAGGCCGATGGAGGGAACTGACACCAGCCATAAGAGAGACTCGCGTTCATCAGACAAGTACCGCAAAAGCGAAGATGCCAGCAACAGCCAGGAGGAGGATAACACAGTAAGATTTTTATTTCCCGAAAACAGGCTTAAGAGAAGTGCTTAATAATAAGTGCTAGTTAATTAAAAATGCATATTAATTAATAAAAAAATAATATGCATTTGTCAATATATATATATATATATATATATATATATACACACACACACACACACACACACACACACACACACACACACACAAACACACATATATATATATATAAACAAGTTTTTCTGTTGTTTTCAGAGAGGACTAAGCTTTTTAAACTAAACTAAAATAGAGGACTAATATATATATAGTGCTGTCAATCGATTAAAAAATTAACTAATTAATCGCACCTTTTTAAAAAAATTCATCGCGATTAATCGCATTTAAAATACTGAAACTTGTAATTTTGTAATTTTGGCTATTCAAATGTAAAATTAATGTAAACGCAAGACAAAAACTATTTAAATTAAAAATATAATTGTTTAATATAATTTTTGTTTAACTTGTAACACAGATTTTTTTCATGTAAACAACATACCCACAATAAACCATTAAGATCCTGGCTTGACAGCCATATTTATTAAAGAAATTAAAACACAGGCATGTTTATGACATTTAAATTTCAAAACAATCAATGCCAATAAAGAAAACATTGATTTCCATGTTGGATTGTGGACTGCAAAAAAAAATGCCAAAATACAGGAATTGCAGATATGGAAAATGAAAAATTATAATAATAAACTATAAAATACAAACTGTTGCACTCATTGTAAAGTTTTATTGCTGTGACTTGAGAACATTAGTTATAGAGTAGAAACAATTTTGCTTAATCCTCCTTTACATTCATCCAGTTGCTAAGACTAGGAGTATCCCGCAAGTGCACAGAGACTCCCAAATGCCCGCAAATGAATGATAATTTCTCGCAAACCGGTCGTTAAATACATTGCACACCCCTCTCCCCTGCATCCCTCCTAGCTCTTCAGGTAGCCTATGTCGCTCGCAACTCACCCCCACCATCCTTCAGGTATGTCTTGCGCGCACACGCCCCTACTCAGATACGTCGCTCACTCCACCCCTGACACCCCTCAACGGGCCTGACACAGACACACACACAACGCGCTGCAGACATTTTGGCCCCAACGGCCTTCCATACTGGAGAGACTCCCCTCAGATTCAACACGCATGATCACGTTCATCAAATTTGCTTCAACTAAGCGTCCTAAAGTATTACTGTATTTCACAAGGATTCTGACACAACAACGCAAAGCATATGCTTTCGTTGCATTTATTGAGGAAACACGCTAAACTTGGAGGGCTCATGCTGAAAGGCAGAGTAATGCCCTGTCTTTGACAGGTCGCGACTTCACCAGAGACTTTCTGAGTACATTTACATAAGACACCAATACTTCGATTTTAATATGATTAAGATTATACTCTTATTAAAATTCTACCATGTAGCCTAAGCAGTGATTTTATTACCTTATAGGAACATCGAGTCACGAAATGCGGAGGATTTTCTTTCTGTTTGCCATGCGGTATCAACTTACAACAGAAGTCGAAAGTTAAAAATGAAACACCCGAAATTGCATGAAACTCTGGAGAGCCTGGTGATGCGACTAATTATTTTATACTGAAACTTGCCTTCAAAAAGTGCTTCCTTGGTCTTATCCAAATTTCTTGCATGTTAAACACACGTCCACCACAACAGGAAGTAAAAAAAAACCTGCAACTGCGTTAATTGCGTTAATTTTTTTTAACACGTTAATTATTTAAAATTAATCGCATGCGTTAATGCACTAATTTTGACAGCGCTAATGTATATGCGTAAATGTATATATATATATATATATATATATATATATATATATATATATATATATATATATATATATATATCCTCTATTTTATTTTAGTTTAAAAAGCTTAGTCCTCTCCGAAAACAACAGAAAAAACCTGCAAATGCAAATGTGTCCATCCAAAACGGCGGCTACAGTGGTCAACTTCTGTTCAGTCTCAGTCTTCAATCTCTTTCCATTGTTTTTCTATGTAAACGGGATTGAAGGATATGCATGGATATATATACAACAGTTCTGTCTGACTCTTGAATCTGATTGGCTGATAGCCGTGCGATATTCTGCAAATAACAGCACTCGTCCAGCCTCTTCACCCTTCACCCTTGTGTATTACTCCGCCCACGTACAGCGAAAAGCAGAGGACATGCTACAGTTTGATAAATATTGCAGCTGTTGAACAACTTAATGTATTTTTGGGGCTTTTTCAGTGGAGAATGTGCTTGTTTAGATTGCAACTATGCAGTTTATTTATAAGGATAGTGCCTATTTTAAATATTTATAATTTTCGGGAAGACAGCTCATTGGCTGCATTTAGCCTGTTATTGAGCAGAGCAAAGACAGTTGGTGTTGTCCATACACAAGATAGCGACAGAGGCAGCATAAAAAGCCCTAAGAGAAAAAAGTGCAATTTCTAACTACAGCTGATCAAATCATTATTAATCTGGTAAGTGACATTCTAAGTCGATCTCTCTCTTTGGTATGTTGCAGTGCTGTATTTATACCTTAGTAATTGTAGTGTATTGAGTGTGAGATAGGTGAGATAGTGAAGATAATGATAGTGTGAGAAATAAATGTATTTTGTATAAGAAATAAATGTATTTTGTGTTGGCCATGTTTTGTAAAACCCTGAGCTATACAAATTTAGTTGACCATCTGTTTGTTTCTAATGAATCTCCTGTTTTCGTTATCGCAAACACAAAAATTATCTGGTAGTTTTTGTGCTGCTTTGGCTATTTTGGGGATTTTTATTGGGATCTCCCGATTGCAACAGAGAAGTACTGGGAAATCTCTTTAGACTAATGGCAATTCTTGCCGTTCAGCCTTATAATCTTAAAATGTCAGCAAAATCAGCTGTTTTGTCATCACTTTAGATATTACGCTAGAGAATCATTCAAATACTAGATCTAAAGTAACGTTGGTGAAGTAGCAATGGTTTCTGCTGTTCTGACGTCAGCTGCAGATGTAAAGGAATGGCAAAAGAAAGTACCTTATACAAAAGGGATTTTAGACTCTCGTGTTTGATTTTCTTTTTTTTATACACATGATTATGCCATTCAACTGTTGCATAAATGCAATATCACACTTGTAGCAGTATATCATCACTGATGGGACACTAAGCTACGCATGCCTCCTACCAGTGTCGATATACAGCCATATCCCACTGCAAAGAGTGTGATATTGCTCACACACACACACACACACACACACACACACATATATATATATATATATATATATATATATATATATATATATATATATATATATATATATATATATATATATATACACACACACAAACACACACACACAATCACACACACGTCTATTTTTGTGAAAAGTGGGGACATTACATAGCTTTCCATTCATTTTATACTGTCCAAACCGTATATTGTATTGCCCTGACCTCACCCCACCCCTAAACCCAACCATCACAGGAGACTGTGCGCAGCTTTACTCTCTGATTAAAGTCATTCTGTAGGATTTATAAGCATTTTGAGAAATGAGGATGTCACCAGTGTCCTCATATTTCACCTCCTTTTTGTAATACCTGTGTCATACCCATGTCATTATACAGATTTGTGTCCTGATATGTCACAAAAACACGTACACATACACATACACCCACACACACCGTGCCACCCCAAATGTTTTTGTGTCTAATAGTTTTAGTCCAGTGATTTATATTCTGCGTGTGATTGCTGTAGGCAATTTTTGAATCACTGGACTAAAGCCATTGGTCAAAAAACATTTGGGGTGGCACGGTGGCTCAGTGGTTAGCCTCACAGCAAGAAGGGTCGCCGGTTTGTGTCCCGGCGGTGCCAGTTGGCATTTCTCTGTGGAGTTTGCATGTTCCTCCTATGTGCGTATGGGTTTCCAAAGGGTGCTCCGGTTTCCTCCATATTTTAAAGACATGCAAAAACATATACCTGAATAGTTGGTGGTTCATTCCGCTGTGGTGACTACTAAAAATAAGGCACTAAGCCGAAGGAAAATGAATGATTGAATGAATGAATGAAAGAATGAAATAAAATAAAAACTTACAACGCAGGCTCATTCTGAAATGTACCACTATATACATTTTTGAAGACCTGCCAAATATGTCTCAGGAGCTACTTTTTTTGCAGTTTTTGTTTTCGCGAAACTACTAGAGGCTGCTGTGTATGCTTTTTGAGATCTCAAATTTCTCTCGCGAGTGCTATTTGCATCTGTTGTTCTCGCATAAACCCACCAGAGGCTACTGTTTGACTGACTGAATGACTACCCGATCGATTGACCCACCCTCCTCCTTCCCTAAAACCAACCAATTGTATTAATTGACCCGCCCACCCCATTCCCTAAATCCAACCAACAATTTTCAAAAGCAATCAAGAAAAAGAAAAGCCCTGGCCTGATTTTGACATTCTCACCCTGTTTTTTTTGCTTGTTAATTGAATTTTTTGGATTGTGGTTTTGTCTTACCTGCTTTCTGGAACCATTCTTTACCAGACTCAAAGCCGTTGTCATGATCAACTCCTCTCTGTGTCTCAAGTGCACTGACGAAGCTAACAGGACAAACTGGTAACAGCGGGAAAGCCGTCCATATGAAGGTAAGTCGTCAGCTGGTAAGCGCAAAAAGAAATGGCGTCATACCGCCTCGTATCGTTCATTTTAAAACGAAATGCAGCCATACTCTGACTACATAATGCGTGATCTCTAGAAACATATATAGGGCTACATTTTCAGAATGAGCCTATGTTGAAAACTTACCGGAGAGGCGACATCGCTAATCGACAATCCAATGAATCCCCAACACCATCCAATGGCTTGATGCGTCTCGGCCCTAATACAAGACAACACTTTAGAGGTTGATGTACATCTGTTTTCATCCAAGAAAACCAAAAATGCCCTCTACTGTTTGCAAGAGGCATTTTTTAGTCTATAGATTCATCCCTAAAAGTTTACTTTATTTCACTT